CTAGCGCAGATAGCCCTCGTGTAGCTTTGCGCGAAATTCAAAACAAACAAACAATACGTAGAATGTTCGGGAATATTTGTGATCGAGAAACTTTGCGAAGTGTCTAGAAAGAAGGTCACATTATATATATATATACGAGAATTAGAAAAGCACTGAGTCAGTTTTTCTGTTACCGGTGAAGTATATATTTCTCAGTTCGTTCAGTGATTGAAAAGTTAGTGGAGTATTCAGATCAATGTTAGGTGCTCGATCGATTAGCCGTGAAATTGTACAAAGTAAGTTTATTTGTATGTTAGTCGCAGTCACAAGCAATAGGTAAAATTATACTTACCTTGGCAGTAAGCTGATTGGCTTAATATACACGCAACGCTCCATATCAGAACATAACGTTTATAGATGCAGACAGAAATTTTGTAATTGTTCAAAGTCCACATTTTAAGTTTTTACAGGATAAGAATCTTCTTCTGGTTCGTTGTTTCACTAACTGTCTGTTTGTAGTTAAGCACAAAGCTACACGAAGGACTATCTGTGCTCTGCCCTCCACGGGTATCGAAACCCGGATTCTAGCGTTGTAAGTCCACAGACATACCGCTGGACCACTTTCACTGACACTGCTATATTTGTGAAAGATTCGTAAAATTGTTCTTATCAATTAAACACATTAAGGTGGCAGTAGAAACTAAATCTTGTGTGACTTGTTTATTGGGATTGGTCGGGTTTCGAATCTAGGTTTATTTCATCACCACATCCTAAGTGGTTTAACTATAACATCGAAAACATTAGACGAGTAACTTGTCATTCCAAGATTTATACTGAAACTCTGAAGCACCAGCGTATTCTTGAAAACCTTTGTTTTGATCAGGTGATAATTGTAAGTCTTCTTATTGGTAAGCATTTTACCTGTAGCCATTTTTATCTGTATATTGGTCATTCCTATTCACTGCAAAAATATATCTCATTCGGAATTTGGACTTGTTCATTGACATATCTGTCATTTGTTAATATAGACTTCTCGCTGAGGCCATTATTGAAAATAACGACAGCTACGCTTGATGCCTTTCGAGGCGCGACAAGGCTTAATTACTGTACTTAATTATTATATATCGTAAAGGTATAATTTTAGGTTTATAATATGCAAATTGATCGTATTGTACAACGTAAATGTATACAGATAAATATTCACGACATAATACGGATAACCGTCACTTTCCGTATGATAATTAAAATGTAACACTTACTCTCGTTACTCAATATTAATTTTACAAAGTAGACACGTCCTTTTTCATTAGATCCCGCGATAGATGTGTCACTATTTCCAAAGTGTTCGATCTTCAGGGACGGGAAAAGAGAGGCTGGGCTTTTTCGTTACGTCACCCACGCTCTCCACACCAGGCCAATATTTTCGGTGCTTTCCACGCGCGAAAGACGTTTATGTAGTGCCTAACTTTGTAAAATCTGAATGACGCGTTATTCTCGATGTGGTGACTCGGAGATTGTCACATCGTTAGAGAGCGTTCCATCAACACAGAAAATAATGATGTTACTATTGGTAACGACTAATACCTGCATCGCCACCTGTGAACATACTTAAGAATTCTTAAAAACAATATATATATATTGTTATCAGCACATTCATTTTACAAGAATTGTTCAATATTTTAAAGAATTTCTATAGAATGACAAAACGAGTACGAATACGCTATAAAATCTAAACACGCTGGGGGCTAATCTTTAGTTTCTATTACAAACTATTAAGGAGCCAGTTTAGTCCAGAGTCCGTACTTTTTTACAGTTAATTGCAACATCTGGAACGTTTCAAACTCGTCTAATAGTTAATCAACCGTCCCTTATGTGAGGACGAGATTATCTTGATAAATGTGTTCAGTTGAACACTTTTAATATAGGTTCGAAAGAATACATTAAATTTACGGGATAAAATACCGACTGAACGTCTACAATGTTACGTTACTATACCGGCTGAAAATCTACAATGTTACGTTACTATACCGGCTGAAAATCTACAATGCTACGTTACTCTACCGGCTGAAAATCTACAAAGTTACGTTACTCTACCGGTTGAAAATCTACAATGTAACGTTACTATACCGGCTGAAAATCTACAATGCTACGTTACTCTACCGGCTGAAAATCTACAAAGTTACGTTACTATACCGGCTGAAAATCTACAATGTTACGTTACTATACCGGCTGAAAATCTACAATGTTACGTTACTCTACCGGCTGAAAATCTACAAAGTTACGTTACTCTACCGCTGAAAATCTACATGTTACTACTACTCTACCGGTTGAAAATCTACATCTACAAAGTTACGTTACTCTACCGGTTGAAAATCTACAAAGTTACGTTACTCTACCCGCTGAAAATCTACAATGTTACGTTACTCTACCGGTTGAAAATCTACAAAGTTACGTTACTCTACCCGCTGAACATCTACAATGTTACGTTACTCTACCGGTTGAACATCTACAAAGTTACGTTACTCTACCGGTTGAAAATCTACAATACTTAAAATCTACAATGTTACGCTACTCTACCGGCTGAAAATCTACAATGTTACTTTACTCTACCGGTTGAAAATCTACAATGTTACGTTACTCTACCGGTTGAACATCTACAATGTTACGTTACTCTATCCGCTGAAAATCTACAATGTTACGTTACTCTACCGGTTGAAAATATTGTACCGGCTGAAAATCTACAATGTTACGCTACTCTACCGGCTGAAAATCTACACAGTTACGTTATTGTACCAACTAAAAACGTACAATGTTATGTTACTGTACCAGCTGCACATATTCAATGTTATGTTACTGTACCAGCTGCACATATTCAATGTTATGTTACTGTACCAGCTGGACATGTTCAATGTCATGTTACTATACCAGCTGGACATGTTCAATGTTATGACTGGGTACAATGTCATGTTACTGTACCAGCTGGATATGTTCAATGTTATGTTACTGTACCAGCTGGATATGTTCAATGTTATGACTGGATACAATGTTATGTTACTATACCAGCTGGACATGTTCAATGTTACGTTACTGTACCAGCTGGATATGTTCAATGTCATGTTACTGTACCAGCTGGATATGTTCAATGTTATGACTGGATACAATGTTATGTTACTATACCAGCTGGACATGTTCAATGTCATGTTACTATACCAGCTGGACATGTTCAATGTTATGTTACTATACCAGCTGGACATGTTCAATGTTACGTTACTGTACCAGCTGGACATGTTCAATGTTATGTTACTGTACCAGTTGGACATGTTCAATGTTACGTTACTGTACCAGCTGGACATGTTCAATGTTATGTTACTGTACCAGTTGGATATGTTCAATGTTATGTTACTGTACCAGCTGGACATGTTCAATGTCATGTTACTGTACCAGCTGGATATGTTCAATGTTATGTTACTATACCAGCTGGACATGTTCAATGTTACGTTACTGTACCAGCTGGACATGTTCAATGTTATGTTACTGTACCAGCTGGATATGTTCAATGTTATGTTACTATACCAGCTGGACATGTTCAATGTTACGTTACTGTACCAGCTGGACATGTTC